TAGTATCTTTTAATCTTACAGAAATTTAAAAAATTAATATTTTGACTTCTCAATGATAATGCAAAATTGATTTTTCGTCAATATCTTAACTTCAACGTCTTACGCACAGTGAAATATATTGAATCCAATTATAAACAACTTTACATATCTGTATAAAAGAAAGATTACGTGTATGTAAAAATTATATTGCAGATATACATCCTTGTAACTTACGCTCTTACGAAATAAAAAGTCGTGCTCAAACACGTGATTAGATAAAATAAGTCTCCTCTGATGAAGTAGATTCAAGTACTTGTTATTCCTTTAGTTACATTCTGTAATAAACTACATATACAGTCCTTATTTAAAGGTAATTTCAATCATTTACATTTGTATTTAAATTATTATACATCTACATTAATATTTTAAAAAAACAAATTTTTAGATAATATATTAATCATGACAACTTTGAATCCTAATGAACTTGCCATAGTAAAAAGAGAGCTACATGTTCCTTCTCTTGACGAAATAAAAGATGGTAATTTTCAATTAAATATAATCTCTGATTATAAAAAAATTTCAATGATGTAATATAAACGTATATTTTAATAAATATATTTTTTAATAGTTTTAAAAGAAGGATTGGTTAAAAATTTCGCGGATGTTGAAGTAGAAATTGTTGATTGCCCAGATTTGACCCAAGAACCTTTCACACTTGCTGCAGCAGGTAAATAATGTTTTAAATGGTAAATATCTTCTATACTATTTTAAATTAATGTATGAAATTTAATATTTAGGTTTAGGTGGCAATTCGACATTGTTGGAAATTGGTGGTCCATCATTTCTTCTTCCTACTGTGCAAAAAGATAAATTATATGACATCCAACAACTTTTGAATCACTTAAAATACAAAAAAGATTCTTTTATTATTGGAGCAGGAGCTGGCCCATGGCCATATCTAAATTCCAATTGCGAGGTTACTAACTATATCAATAACTAAGTTAAATTTTAGTTATAAATCTATATATTTGGTTTAATTGTAAAACTTTCTTCTAGCTTGTAATGAACTTGATTGTTTCATCATCCAATGTACAAAACGGAACTCGTATTTCATCTGTCAATACAGCAAATGGGAACTGCGTGCTTCAAACATTACCTGACAATGAAACAAGACTTGCTTTATTAGCTAATTTATTTGTTACTGAAGGAAAACCAGGAAAAGTTGTAAAAGTGCATGCTAAAAAACGTACTGGAAATAATGATTTTATTGCATCTATGCAAAAAGCAGTTGCTCAACATTATCCAAATAATCTTGTTGGTAAGAATTATTGCGACTAATAAATATACTTTATATCATAGTTCAATATCTGTATTAAATTTTTACAATTATAGGATTAGGAGGAACATTTTTAATGAAAAATGGAAAAATTAAACAACACGTTATGGCTGATTTCTCAGAAACTCCATTAAATACTGAAACACAACTTAATAACTGGTTGCATTTTTATAATATGTCAACACCTTTAATAGCTGTTGGTACATTCGTCAGTTCTGAAAGTGTAAGTAAAATCATATAAAATTGGACATTTTATAGAATAAACTATCTAAGCTGCACTTTAATGTTGGCAGTAAATGATCTGAAATTTTTTAAAATCTATTACATATAGTATTGTTTTATAGTATTCTGCATGTGTATTGTAATTTTAGGATCTAGATCTTCGTATTCAGCACTTCCACAGCTTTTCCCACCATGGAGAGGGTGGTCATTATCATATTGATACAACACCAGAAACTATAGAATATCTGGGTTATTTCAACTTGGGTACTACACTTTATCGTGTAGATAAACCACTAACTGGTATTCAGTTTGGAAAGGATTAATTTTCGTTACATAATTATATATGCATTTTATCCAAATAAAAGTAATGCATAAATGTTTATAATATTATAATAAACATGTAAATATATATTTTAAAGAAAAAATATATTTTTCAAGCTATTTCACTAATATAATAAAAATTGTTGTTGAAGTAAAATTAAAATGTGTGAATATATCTACAGGCTACATAAATGTCATAACGTACTGAATGTACAATTAACAAAAAATCTAAATTTTGATTATTTATATTAAGTTACATAATTATGCATAGACGTACTTGTTCCAGGTATATTAATGAATACATTAATTTTGAAAGCTATAAAATACACATAGAATGGATCATATCAGTTTTGCAACAAATTGCATTTTGTTAACATTTTTCTACTGTCTTACATTTAGACGAATCTCAATCCGATCGTTACAGTTTCCAAATCTTCCTACCGTATTAATCCGTAATAAGCTGTTTGACGTGCAAAGCTGTATGTTAATTTTATCAGACAGCAGATGTATTAGATGTGGTAAACGGTAGTATACCGCAAATGTCTCGTTCAGTATAATCGTGTATCGTAACTGTAAAGTAGCCAAATGATGAAATTCAGCATTGAATCTACTGCTTCTTATAATAGTATCCATCCAGCATATCATTATACTGAACAATTTGCCAATAATGCTGAAACATATCAAGAGGGTACCAAATGGTATGGAGTGTTTTTGGCATTTTTATCAGGTACATTTTTTACAATTAGTTCTGCATTAGTTAAAGCAGTAGAAAACGTACATCCTATGGTATTACTGGCTATCAGATCTGTTCTACAAATGTTAGTTATGACTGCTGTAGCATTTAAAGTTTCTAAAAATGTTTTTGGACCCAAAGGACAAAGAATGCTTTTACATTTACAAGTATGTCAATTATAAAATTAATCATAATTATATTCTATGTACTAATAAGTAAAAATAATCTAATATAGTGTTTCATCTTTTCTTAGGGAATAGTAGGTGGTGCAACTCTATCATTATTATATTATAGTTTTCGAAAATTACCTATAGGAGATGCTACAACAATCATATTTAGTTCTCCAGTGATTGTTATTGCATTATCTTTCATTTTGTTGAAAGAACCTTGTGGAATATTACGTGTGATAGTCATGTGTGCACTCTTTGCAGGTGTCGTTTTTGTATCTAAACCACCGTTTCTATTTCAGGTAAAAAAAATTCTTTGTAAGATTTTTTTATAAATGAACAATTTGGCATAAAATATTTGTTTTTCTAGATGCACAGAACTGAACCATACAATGTGATGGGATATGTATGCGCTATCTTGGCAACCCTTTTTACAGCTCTTAATATAGTTATTATGAGAAAGTGTTCAGAAATCCATTATTCAACAATAATCTTCAACCTATCTTGGTATTCACTTGTTACAGCAATATTTTTCTTCTTCTTCATATCAGATAATCACGAACAAAAATCAAAGTTGCCACATGATTGGATTACCTGGAGTAAAATATTGTTAGTAGCACTAACTGGATTATCAGGTCAAATTTTAGTAACTAATGCATTAAAGATAGAAGGTGCTGGAAAAGTATCAGTGACTAGATCTTTAGATATTATTTTGGCTTATATTGTACAAATATATTTTTTTGGAGATCAGCCTACATCAACCAGTATCATTGGAGCATTTCTAATCATAGTTTCTGTTATATGTATGGGATTTGAGAAAGAAATTTATAATGTTTGTGATTTTATTCCCTAATTAAAGATACAGTACCTTAAATTATTTACTTGTTCTTAGCATAAACATAGATAATATTATACATATTTTTATGAATGGTGAAAACATTATTATACTACTATTTAGCTTATTGAGTTTCATAATATAAAGTTTTAAGATTTTATACAATATAATGTTGAATTATATATAACTACTATTCATTTACATAATTTTTTTAGTCGCATAAATTTATCTCACACAAATTCTCATTTGAAATAAAAACGAAAGTATCAAGTATTTAAGAGTGTAATTTAACAAACTGACTCTTTCGAATCTATACGTTTTTTCCAAACTTTATCATTAAATAGATATGACATAATTTTTAAAGTATACAAATGAATATATATATTTACAATTGTACACACATTATTATCATATGTACTTCGAATTATCCGTAACTTTGTGCGGACATAATTAACTGTATCTTTATAATTGTTGGTTTATTAAAAAAAAAATATATATATATATATTTGTGTGTATATATATGTGTATATATATAT